AAATAAATAAAAAAAATTAATGAACCCAACTAGCACGAGTTGCCGGGCCCATTGAGCCTTTTTTGAAAAAAATAAAAAAATCTAACTTATCAAAATTGTGAGTCGTACGTTGCGATAACCAAAAATTAGTTTAATTATCTTAACCGGAAATAGAAAATGTAAAGCAATAATTCAATAATTTCAACGAGAAATATATAATTAATTTTGACTTCTAAATTTTCAATTGTTCATGCCTTCGTGACATTTGACATCACTGTACACGTTACCTTCCACACTTTTCATTATTCGTTTCATTTAAGAACAAGCATCTTTTGACTTTTTTTATTTTTAATTTAAATTAGGCCACAAAGTTTTTTTTTAAAATTTACAAATCAATTAAAATATACATGTTTCTTCTAAATATGTCGGAATTGTGAAAATTTCTGTAACTCTCAAAGTATGGAATGTGGTACTCTCCACGACTATTTAGTTAACATGTGTATTACTGAGCCTTTATTTAATTGATATTGATTTTATAGATATTAACTCGACTCTTTAATTGTACCTTTCATAAAATTCGTGTTTACATCACACGAAATTCTCATTGAGCATTCTAGAATAGCAAGAACATCAAAGCATTGGCTGATCTACTCGAAAACTTTGGAGAGGGTGAGCAGTATGTGTTGGAATTTGATTTTGAAAGATTGAAATTTGGTTAAGTGATAAAACAAAAATTTGGAAATGTGACTTTCGTGTCAATTTTGGCCAAATATTCGAACGTGATTCGATGGTCAAATTACAAAATTAAATAGACCAACTTGTTCTACTCGTCAAGTAAATCGTCGTGGTATATTTGGAATCTCAAAACCAATTCCGGATGAATAAGAAATTACGATTCAAAGTTGGGAATAAAATAGAGGAAGTTGTCTAGAAAATTGACTAAGGCTGTTGCTAGCTTATCGTTGGGTTGTTGCTCGAGCTACAAGTCAACGACATGCTAGCGAAAAAGTCACTGTTTTTATCACTCGAGCGAGGCGATGACAATAGGCTAGCGACAATAAATGGTACGACATTTGGCGAGAGTTGTTGAGTTTGGGGCGCGATATTTCATTCACAACCTCTCATCCTCTATATATAGGACATGTTGGACATCCATTTTACATCACATACCATTTTTGCATTGAGCATTGCATAAAAACTCTTGTAAATCATTTCCAAATTCATTCAAAACCTTTTTCCTCTTTGTAGAGAAAAAATCCGTTGAAAGTTCACCGTAACTTATGGTTTGAAGTGTTTCTACTACAAGTTGAATCTGTTGTATCTTGGGAGACAAGTGCCGTGAATCATGGGCACCGTTGCAGGGCAATTTTGTCTTAAGGAAAGAGTGAAAATCACTTGTCTCGGATAGATCTTCTTCTTCTTCTTCACTTCTTGTTTTTTGGTTTTTTCGTTTGTAGTTTACATACTACATTTTCAACCATATTTATTGTGTTTAATCACGTTTATGCGGATTAAACTTTGTTTTTGGTTTGTTCGATATGTAACAACCCTTTCACCTGCACTTATACTTAGCCCACATACCCAAGAGTATACTCAACATACCCTTAGAAAGTTCCTCCACGAGGTCATGCCGAATATAAACAAGTTCATCTCAGATCGAAAGTGAAGCACACTGACCATCTCTCTCTCTCTTATTATTATTATTATTTTTTTTTTTGCTTGGAGCATCCTTATTATGATTATGCTTACTATTATGATTTTCTGTTGGAATATGTTAATTTTACCTTCCCGAAGAACCAGTACAAGATCATTGTCATTTACAGTGGGTATGCATCTGCTTGTTTCTTCTCTTATTGTTTTCTAGATCAGATTATCCGTTGTTGTGTCTACTGAAGCAGCAATTGTTGGAAAAATTTAAATTACAATGAAGTGAATGACAATTGTAACAACAATTTTAATATGTTTCAATTACTTAATTATTTTTTTCAATTGAATTGTTGTAACATTTTTCTTTGTAGCTTAGATAATTATTTTCTAATTCAGTGATAGAATTGTGAGCATTCTCAATTCGCCTAAAGTAGTGATGATGTGTTAGTCAACTACTTTTAACCGTTGTATTCTATGACACAAATGCCATCAGTCCTCTTGCATCATAGTGAGGGCGAAACTATTTTAAGAAAACTGTGTCAATACCACTTCTACATCAACAATCAGATTTCCTCTATTTTATCTTTACTGTGTTTATTGTAACGTTTCTTTCCATAATGTTATAATTTCAACAGTATTCCTAATTTCCTTTTGTATTTTCCTAATAGTAATAGCTTTCTCCTTTTAAGCAACTTTTGCCCAACACTCCAGATTTCTCCATCTTCAGCAATTGCACCATTTTTCAGAATTTTAGAAAAGCAAAAAAAAACTATTAACTTCAAAGGAAAATGATGTTTGTTTTCAAATAATTTGTTATGGATGATACCCGATGCGCTTTTAAGCCTTTGATCTTGTTTTACATTATCAGCTATTACGCCTTTTTTTGACGAGGCTTTAGATTACCTTCACGTGGCAACCAAATAGCAAGTCAACCAACCCACACTCCACGTCACCGTCCTACCTGGTCGAGGTGGAACCACAGTCGTAGCGATACGTCACTTCATTCAAGGTTGAGATAACTTGTCACATCTACTACATGAAGAAATTCGAGACAATTAGCCTCCTGACTGATAGAAAGCATATTCTCACATCACTTCTTCCAAGAAGATCTATTGTACAAATCTTTCTGTCCAATTGATGTGATAGCTCTGTAGGAAGCACAAAAGGATCAAAATATTAGTCTATATGTCAGATATTAGACTGGCTTTAGAGTGGTTGCTCGTTAGAAGCATTAAATGCCCATCAGTTAAAGATTAATGGAATGACATCTATGAGAGGATCTTGGCAATCAGGATGAGGCCACGGGTCATCTCAACCAACAATTGTCATTCTACCCCTCCACTATAAAAACTCATGTATTGTGTCATTGAAATGTAATGCAATTTTATATTCTCAAAGCTACTAGTTTCTCTAAATAAATCCACTTCATGCCTCTCGGATCAGACCTCTTTATACTTAGCGGCTTACATATTTAACACGTTCCACACTTAAACTTTTATACGTTGATTGACTTGACCGTTAGAGTGAACGTGATCGTCTCCTCCACCGTCGGAGAAGGCCACATGCGACTTATGATTTATCTAAATATGCAGGAACGAGGTTTACATGGACGTCAAAGGAGCTGGAATCTATTAGCCAGTCCCCATTACAGAAAATGAGGTCAACACCATCAATAAGAAATATGCACATCATTTCAGGGAAAAATCAAATTATTTGCTATCAAATTCTTACAAGGAAAGGATTTTCTAATTCTTTACCTTCTCGATATCTTGGTCCAAGTCCTCCCGTAGAGGATCGAGATTTGTCCTCATGGTTCCTTGGAACAAAACTGGATCCTGAAGGATGATATTTATCTTTGTTTGAGCTCCATTTTTTGGGTTAGAATGTATTTTGAAATAATAAATTGATGGAGAATGTGTGGTTAAGAAATAAGAAAACGTTTTGTGTTTGTATGTAATATTATTTTATTGAAAAATGTGTGATTGAAAAGAAGAGAGAAAAATATATTTTGAAAAAAATGGGATCAAACAAGTGCAGATATCTATTCCATAAATCGTTGTGTCCTTCCCTGAATTTGGATCATGGCGGACTTTCCACTTCCATTTCGTCCCACAACATCGATTTTTATTGTTCTAGGCTTAGAATTTTATTTTGTTTATATTTTTCCAAGGCTGTAGATATCAATTAAGAGTTGAGACAAACACAAAACGTCAACAGAATTGGTAAGGGGAAGAAGGTGGGAATTGGATTCACATGAAATATATTCTAATTCTTTTTAAATATTGGATTCATTTACACTCTTCCGACAGTTCCCATGGTCCAAAATTTCATTTAAAATTTATAAGGTCTACTGCAGTCTGTGAACTTTGGAGGGAGGGGAAAAAAAAATATAAATCCGTAAGATGACAGGTATTGAACCCGACGTGAATCGAACACGCAACCTTCTGATCTGGAGTCAGACGCGCTACCATTGCGCCACGGATCCGTTTAATATCTTAGTCTCTGTCGAACTTAAAGGGA